TGAAATAAATAAATAAAAAAGTCCAAAACAATTTTTTTTTGTTAACTTTGTGTTGGAGAGGAGGTACAACACATTTTTTTTTAATTTTAAATGCAATTATTTTTCTTAATTTTTAATAAATAATTTAGAATGAGAATATTTTAATGTGTTATTATGTGTCAAAAAATTTCACAATTTAATTTATCATAATCAATTTAAAAATACATCTTTTTCATAATTTTTTTTGCTAATATATTATCATTATTTTAAATTTATCTTGTTCCAAAGAAAATAATATTTTAAATAAATATTTATTTTATTTTCCATTAAATTTAAAAAGTAACTTAATTTTTATTAAATATAAATAAAAAACTAAGTTATATTTTTTCATTAAATTTAAAAGTAACGTGATATATATATAATTTTACTAAAAATTACGTTATATTTATTAAAATTATATTTAACATTTATTAGGGTTTATTATGAATTTCATATTAATTTATTACTAAAAAATATGATAATAAAAAATAAGATAAATATTTATATAAAATATTATTTTCTTAAAAGAAGATAAATTTAAAATAATAATAGTGTATTATGAATATTTTTTTTAAGTTGTTTTTTTAAATTGATTATGATGAATTAAATTGTGAAATTTTTTGACACGTAATAACTCATAAAAATATATCATTCTAAATTATTTTTGATGAAATAAGAAATAATATTTGTATTTAATATTTTAATAAAAAAATAAAAAATTCTGATGTAGCTCCTCTCCAACAAACTGTATAAAAAGAAAGAATTGTGTTGGATTTTTTTATTTCTTTTCTATTTTATTTATCTATCTTTTAGTTTATTTATCTCTCTCATTTTCTATCTCCTGTAATTTTTTTTGAAGTTTTTATAACTTAAGCAAGTCTCTCAATCAATGGGTGACTTTTCCTAGTTCTAAATTTTTTTTATTTTGATGGTTTAATAGTTAATTAAATTCTTAACTGTATTTATTTTAAAAATTTACCCTAAAATAAAGTGATAGATATGTAAATCCCCAAAATAAATTAGGTTGTATTTAATCCAACTTTGAGTGCCGGCACGTAAACTCTGCACTTTCCGCGACTAATTTTGAGTGGGAGTGGGCGAGGAAACGAAGATGAGCGCATGTGGCAAGGCGGCGGCGGTGGCGGTGAGGCTATTCGACGCGCACTGCCATCTCCAAGACCAGAGGATCTTTGCGGTCACTCCCCAGATCATCCGCACGGCCATCGACTCCGGAGTTCTCCTTTTCGCCGTCAATGGCGTTTCCGAGGTTTTGCACAGGCCTTGCAAGATCCATTACGGCTAGGGCTTGCTTTTCTTCTGCAATCATGTCCTTATATAAGCGTACGTCTGTATCTGCAGAAGGATTGGCATATTGTCAAGCAGATGGGCGAGCAATATCCTTCAGTGATTCCGTGCTTTGGCCTTCATCCATGGTAAGTAGGGATACCCCTCATTGGTTTCCGCTTATTCTTGGGCACCCTTTGTTTTTATAATGGAATGAATTTGTATATGCATATAAGGGCTGAACAGGTTTGTTGCCGAGAGGTCGCCTGAATGGATGAGATTATTGAGAGAGTTCTTTGCAGAAACACCTTCCGCTGCCGTTGGTGAGGTATCGAAATGACAACTTACTTTCATTTAATCCTTGCCTTTTTAGGTGTATAATGTTTTATGCAAAGTTCTGTGCAATGTGAATTATGCGGTTTTACTATTGTTAATTTGACGAGCCAGTTCTACCAAAATATAGGGGGCAACAGATTCAATGAGTGTTCTTATGATTCTGACACCAGGGTTTTTGAATATTTTTGGAATAATAAATAACAAGATGCCACGAAATTATTTGGAATAACACTCTTTATGACGGGGATGGCGTAACTTGTGATCGTTTATGCAGGCTTGATGACCCACATCAGACCAGCATGTTTATTGTCCTTGTCAACCAAGAACTACTTAGATCAACTACGAAATATTCTGGTTGACTAAGATGATAGATATGACCATTCGACATTGAACGCCTCACCTGCAATTGAAGTCCTTGTGAGCTTGCCAGGTTTCGATCAATTTTGCTCCCTCCTCTCACTCTATTAATCAATCAGCATGGGCATCATAAACATATTTCTCAATCCATTTATGATTCATATTCTCAACTCGTTGCATTGACAACTTGGGTGCTTCATCAAGCCAGCACACCAAGAAACTTTCTAGAGTTATGCCAGCAACAGTAGTAATGCTTGCGATGAAGAAGAATATTGTTAATAATGAAAAAAATACAATAATAGTAAATTATGCAAATTCCTATTATAAATATTACCCCTTTAGCTTAGATATGATAACATTAATAAAGATATGCTTGATGAGGTATTGATTTATATGAACAATAGTCATAGACTGACCTAAGAGTTCAATTATGATATGATTTCATCAAAGATCAACAATGTAGCCACACTTTTTAAGTTTGGGTATGAAGACATTTATGAATGATATTTATTTAAAGAAAGGTGCTTCAGTGTATATTTTTTTAACAAATGCCAGTTTAAATTGATAAAACATTTATTAAAATAAGTGGAAGTCAAAACATTGGAGAAAATGTTTAGAATGTAGAAAACTTAGAATTAGGAACAAAAGTTGAGAGTATATGACTTGTAATTTTGATAAGTGTGATATATCAATCAAGATTATTAGAAGATTAAGTTATACCTAGGTTTGATAGATTTGTGCTTGGATCTATTATAAAGATGAAGAAAACATACTCTTTAGTGTCAAGCTTTTGATATGACAAAAGCAATGGGGGTCCGCACCAAGCGAACCTCGGAGCCATTGCACTACCCGGTCCAGTAGACTTCGGCTCAGGTGGGTCTTGTAGACAACTGGGAATTAAAATATTAGGTTATGAGGGAATCAACTAGGAAATCCTTTCCTAATTGAATTTCAAATATAGGAGGGAAAACTTTCGAAAGAAGGGCTGATTTAGGAGGGAAGGATGAAGCTTATTTAAGTCTAAAGTTAGGATTTATTGGAATTCTTATGTAGAATTTTGTGTTTGAGTGCTATAGTTTTATTGTATGATAGATCCTAACTACATCTAGGGTTTGGGAGAGAAAATCTTCCCTTCGAAAGAGGATCAATTGTATTTTGCTTCTTGTTAATTTATTTCCCAGTAATAAAAGTTTGCATTTTTGTCGAATCCCATTGATTTGATTGTTGTTTTTGATACCAAGGCACATCAAACTGGTATCAGAGTACATTCCTTGACCGAAATCTTTTTTTTTTGCTAAGTTATGTTGTGATTTCCTTCCCGTTCGTCGAATCACGTCAAAGTTGTTGTTTTTCTCTAATAAAACCTTTGATCCGGGTTAGGTGTATAAATGAGTCGAGTCGAGTTTTAGCATTATCAAGCTCAGCTCGTTACTCGGAAAACGAGCTCGAACTCAAGCTCGTCAAACTATAAACGAGTTCGAGCCGGCTTGCGAGCCGCTTGATTTCGCATCCATCCGATTTTTTATTTTTCCCGCCCACTTCTTATTCCACCTGGCATCCGTCCAAATGGAGTTTTTATTTTTTTCCCGCCTATGAATGGCTGCCATCTTTGTTTTTTTGGGGAAATGGCTGCCATCTTAAAAAGCTGTTATAATGACAAGCTGCAAAGGACATTTTGTATTAATAAAAAGCTGCCTTCACTTGAAACAAGGGAATGAAATTATATGAATTAACCTTAAAAGCAAGCATTTGACATTAAAAGCACGTTTGAATCTCATATTATAAGCTAGCTGCCATTAGTTTCTTTAAAATACCCTAAATATTATAGTTTCGAGCTGGCTCGTTAGCTCACGAGCCGAGCCTCGTCAAGCTCGAACTCGATCAAACGAGCTCGTGGCTCGATAAGCTTGGCTCGCGAGCTCGTTAACAAGTCGAGCTTGAGCCCGCTCGTGAGCCGGCTCGGCTCACTTACACCCCTAATCAGGGTACCAATGACCGGAAAAAGAGTTGAGCTGTTGGAAGAAAGGTTGGAGGGGGAAGTAAGACTACTACGAGCGCATGTGAGATCAATGAATGAACGTATTTCAACGATAAGGAAGGTTTGGGAACATGAAGGATGTGATGAAGTGGATGTTGGAGCTTCATACCAAAACAATTTTATCGGAAGCGAGGATAAATCAGGAAGATGATATACCGAGGGAAGACGGGGTGGTGAAAATTTTAGGAGATGAGGAGGAAATACCCCACTTGGAGTCTCTTACGAGAAGGGAGATGGGTAGGGTGTGCCGGATCATTTAAATCTAATAAAAAAAGATCATTTCTAATATTTTATATCCAAGTTTTTTTAAGTCTACATTTACCTTTTTTAACATAGGCCGGATCTAATATATATACTCTCCTAATAGGGTCATTGAAAGACCGATATTTATATGACCAAACCATCAAAGGCGATTCTCTATAAGCTTATTTGCCACTGGAGCTTATTTAACCTTTTCACGAATATACTCATTTTGCATTCTGTCTCTAATTGTAAAACCACTCATCTATCCGAGCATCCTAATCTCTGGAACATCTGACTTTATTTATTTTTTATCTGACTTAATTTTATGCTTCTCTTTTAATGTCCAACATTCTATGCCATAAATCATTGTATATCTCACCATCTTCTTATACAAAATTCCCTTTAAATTTAGGGGCACTTTAAGAATAGAAAAATCCTAAACATGATAGAATTTATGCAGATTTTCAAAAAACTGCCCTCTTCTAACATATGGATCGGACATTTATAAGAAAATACCTATTAACACTTAGATCACCTAATCACTAAACTGCCACTCCTAAGGATAAAAAGAAACAAAAGTCTTTTAAATAGTTTTTATTAATATAAATGATCCTCCTATTTCAAACTGTCATTCTAGTTGGTAATATCCATACCACTATGTTGGAAACAAAGCATTCAGGCCGGTCTATGTTACTTGTGTTTGTCTCACCGGGTAGGAGATTGGCCTTTTTTCAGTAGGCTATGAAATCCACGAGGTAAACATACATGCTTTGATAGACATTGAATGATTCAAGGGATGAAATAATGTTGTCCATAGTTACAGCTAACCAAGAGGTTTAGAATTCGAGTCGTGCATTTGTGATGTATGTCTGAGTTTATCTTAATTGGGCTTAATGTCCCAAAAAAAAAAAAGTTACAGCGAAGTGGTGCTTTAGTATACTAATGTGCAGCCCTAGTCCTTGTGTCACGTGACTTATGTAATTGAAAATTGTTTTACCTTGCAAAGAAAACCAATGATTTTCTATTAATCAACTGATTTATATAGTATGAACATTAGCACATTGTCCAACTTCTGAATTGAAATGTCTTCGTAGGTGCTTAGAATATGGTTTTTGATTGGATTGTTTTTTCTTAAGTTGTGGTTTAACCACGTCAAGTGGAATGGATGTGGAGCACTAGTCCCTTGTGAATTGCCAGTTATGTCCTTGATACATGTATTAGCATGTAAACAACCCCAAGTTTCTATGTTAATTATTTAACTTAATGTGATCAATGTTGGTTCATTTGTCCAAATTCGTATTGGAAATGTGTTTGTGACTTTATTCAAAGTAGGGCTTTCACTGAACAAAGGGATGCACATTTCATGGCCCTTTGAAAATCCATGTTTCTTATCTTGCATGCTGGAATTTTTATGTTTTAAATTTGCGATGCTGACATTGAAACCTAAAATTGAGTGTTGTGCTCTAACGTTTCATTTGCTTTTGTACTTTGTTCTGACTTTTGCTGAGTGTGTTGAAAGCTTTATGATAGAACTGTTTTTTTTTACTTTGTATATATATTGACCGTAATAAATTTATTTTGTAAATTTCTCATGGAATGCAATCGTGGTTTTCACACCCTACACGCAGAAAGGAAATTATGCCAGATTATCTCAATATGCATTAGGTTTTTCATGCTGAATTTGTTATTGAGGCTTGATTGTACGGTTTTTTATTCTATTCTGGTTAATAAGCTAAAACTTTGAGAAAAATATTTTATCCATAATTTTCTTTGATAGCATACTGTCAGGATATTCAGTATACAAAATTTTTGACATTTTTCAGATTGGCCTGGATAAGGGTTCACATGGAAGGAATATTGAATTTTCTCAGCAGGTTTGTTTCAGCCGTTTATTTGTTTATTGAACTGAAAACCTTTTTTTTAATGTTTATGTTGTAGTTTTACTTGTGTAAGTGCCATTATATTTATTATTTGTTTATGGCTCTTCTATCCTATTCAATTAGTGATGAGTATTCTGAAGTCAATAATGCACCCATAAGCATGGTTTTAAAAATCGCACCGGAACGGCTGATTTGACCGGTTCAAACGTGAACTGGCCCTCTAATATATGTGATCCAGCCCAAAACCACTTCTACATAGACTGGGCAAAACCCGTTTAGAACCAGCAGTTGAGGTGGAGAAAAATGATGAACTGATTTGATTTTTTATAACCCGACCGGTTTGAATATAGACCAATTTCTAGTCTTTTGATTTTGATCAAATGACTATAAGAAAATGTTTAGATGCTCTTTTAAGTTCAACCTATCTTCGGCTTAGGTTTTTTGAACTTTTAAGTTTAATATATTGTTATGTAAAGTTGAATATTTTATAAATAAAAAAAAATATCCTGTCTCAGTATTTTAATTTAGAAATTCATTCAAAATATGTAATGATCAATTGTCTTGATTTAGAATATTATTATATTGTATTAGTGAAAATATCATTATTACATCATTATTATGTCATTTAAGTCATATTAAAATAATAAATATTATTTTAATATTTATTATGTTATCCAATTCAGCCTTTGATTCAAACTTGGTTGAATCTTTGAACCTTGAACCTCACATTAATTTATGGTCTGATTTTCAAAACCTTGCCCATAAGAAGGATTTGTTCAATTTTTCATGTTATTAAACGCTCATATTGAACCTTTGGTTCTATTTACAACTTGAATGGTTGGTTTACAAAATGAAAATTATTATTCTCGAGTTGATCTTTGAATCCAGGTGGAAGTGTTCCGGCAACAACTTGAACTTGCCAAGGAATTAGAAAGACCAGTATCCATTCATTGCGTGAGAGCTTTTGGTGATCTTCTTGAAATAATGCAGTAAAATCTCTATCGTGAATTTCTTTAGCATTATTTTTCTTTTATATGATGAGTCTGGATCTTTTTGATATTTTATCAGCATTTATCTTGCATGGTGATAGTTCGTTAGCATTTTGATTGCTTGTAGTGCTACCAGCATCCATCATCATTTCGAACGAAGTTGTCTTACGGACTGCATCAAGGATGGGCTGTGCTTCACATATTATCTTTAAACAACAATCTCATTATTGGTTTATGACTAGACATAATATAAATGGTTCTCATGTTGAATCTTAAGGCCCTGTTCGGAGCGAGTTTCTTTTTTGTTTTTATTGTCACTTAAAAGAAAAAAAAAATATTTGAAATTTTGGATGATCTACTTTTATTTATGTAATAATTATAGAAAATATTTTTGTCAATTAAAAATAAATAACATAGTTAATATATATGCAATTATCATAATTAAGCACATTTAATTTATAATTTAGCATGAATAATACTTTATAAATATTATTTAAACCTTATTAATTCAATTTTGCCACCACAATTACTAATTAAAAGTTATTGATTGCTTACGAAAACTCATCCCTCAATAAGTGAAAATTTGGGAGGAATTTTTCTTGAGGTGGATTAATTTGTTTAACAAGATCGTCCTGATGTTGGATTAGGGTTTATTTAAATCTTGAATCAAAACTTCACCCATAGTTAATAATGTAGAACTACGTATGAATGCAATGATTTTTGTAAGATCTTGCACAACTTTTGATTAGAGAATAATGAAGAAAACTACAAGCAACTATATTAATCAGTCCCGTTTGGTCAATTCTATGATTTTTCCTTCATTCTGCAAGTTCTTTCTATGACTCAGATGTATCGGTCCCTTCCCTGCTGGTGTAATTCTGCATTCTTTCATGGGATCTGCTGAGATGGTGCCTGCATTCACGCAGCTTGGTTCTTATTTTTCCTTCTCTGGCTTTTTAACTTCAATGAAAACTGAGAAAGCTAAGAAAATGCTGAAATCGGTGAGCAAGCTGCTAGACTATTTAATTATTAATATATTGCTAATTAATCGGTGATTAATTCATCAACTGAATGATTTATTCTTTAGGTGTCTATTGAGAGGATTCTATTTGAGTCAGATGCGCCAGATGCATTTCCCAAGTCACACGTAAATTCTTCATCACTTCTGGTTGATAACTCCATAGCACTCGGTCATCAAAGCCCTGAAATATTGGCTACTAGTGCACCCAATTTTCCAAAGGAGGAACTGAATCATCCAGCTAATATTCAGATTGTAAGTGCCTGCATGTGTTATTTAGTTAGTACTTCTGGTTTCTTAATTGATTGGGTATTTGGCTACGAGTGTTGAGAAAAAGGTTTTGCGTGAAATAAAATTAACAATGCATATAGCACTTGAAGAAAAGGATGGAGATAGATTTAGAAAATGCCCAGATAATTGAGTTAAAGCTAAATGCCAATAAAAATGAACGTTGGTGCGTAACTGCAGATGTAATTCTATATTTTAAATCTTTACCCAGGTCACATTTTTCATTCAATGAAATTATATAATTTATTTATTTTCTTCATGCCATGACCACCAGCATTTTATTTAGAAATTTGAGGGCTATCAACTCATTTAGCCAGATGCCAGACTTCAGGTATTCCAGTTGTTCCAAATGACAATTATGACATGCATAAGCACAATGTTTTAGCATGAAAGAACTGCCCTTATCATAAATTCCTCTGGGAACTGCCAATAGACACTTCAAACAGATATTGCTTCTCAAAAAAAGAAAAAAAAAAATCCGCTTGAGAATGATTTTACTGCAAAGAGGAGAAAATAGGGCTGTGGAGAATCATATTCCCAAACACCATTAATTCACTCCAGTGCATTCTCTAGAAGTGTTTGCAGTCAGTTCCACATGATCATTAATTCAATGCAGATACGAAAATCAACGCATGAACAGTAATCAGTACAATAACAATAAGAAACAGTAAACTCCTAAATCCACAGTAGAAGAATCAATAAACAGTTCAAAGGTCCGTAAAGCTCAATAAATCAATGCGTACGTCAATCTCTATAGAAATCAGTCAATCAGGCAATAAATCATAATAACATTTAAAACAGTTAGAATCAATCAATGCCGTAAAACCGTATCAAAATGTACATTTGCAATTATGTACAGTGAATCAATAGTATTAGTTCTAGTATCAGTAACAGTAGTGACATGAACAATAATGCTATAACAGTGAAATCATGCATTAACAGTAAATCCGTACAGTAGCAATAAATCCATCAATAAATCATAATGAGATCATAAGAACAGTACTGTACACATGCAATTCAATACAATAATCTTACTGAACAAGTACAATCACTGGCTATTAAGGCGTTTTTCAGTCTTATATCTTATATTTTGTATCTTGTATCCGTTGGCTTAGTAAAAAGAGTCGTCACTCTTTGCCCGTCGGCACAATATTCATCTCCTTATGACTCCCTTCAGTAATCACGTGATCAGTAGAGGATAACACCAAACCCTTTATTTAAAGGAAAGCCCGTCGGCCCATCATCATGTACATGTATCATGTCTCCAACCAACGGTTCAACCAGTCTTTACTTGTCTTTCAGTAACAATAACAATAATTCAATCATATATTTACTTTCGTATGCATATTCAATCATTTAAATCATCAATTCAGAAAATAGAGGTCGTACGAGAAATCGGCGGCATAACGGCTGTATACAGAATTTACACAGAAATTACATATTCAGAATTTTACCAAATTACCACAGAACATGTAAAACAACAATATAAGACTTTCATTGTACTGACAACATTTTTCAACATCCTGATAAATTGCAGTTCAATTAAAACACCGCAGAATCCAAAATACCCGGTAAAAATCTTTCAAAAAATATTCAAAACGTGCACAATTATCATCTCAGAAACATATCAAAAGTTACGCGGTAAAACCTTCGTCAATACAAAATTATACGCGTTTTTTGGTAACAGAAACACAAATTTGAGCACAGAAATATCAAAACTCGAAATCTTTGAAAACAAAAATAGGATTCGGAGTCTATACTGCAAGACGAACAAATCTTCCAACTGTGTTGTCGGACGAAAAGCGCTCCGCGAGCTCCAAAACCAAGCTTTTACTTCTTTCCTTCTCTTTCTCTCTCCTGATTTCTCTTTCTCTCTCTTCAAAATATCTCCAAAATATCTCTATCGGATATTTATTAACACTGATCGTCCCGGACGATCCAAAATTCGTCCCGGGACGACTTGCCCTCTGAAAAATTTTCGTCCAGACGAACCATGCAGCCAGAAACGTTTTCCTGCACAACCTGTACCGATCGTCCCGGACGATCCAACTTCGTCCGGACGAACCTGGGAGCAAAAATGGTCTTTACATCTTTGGCTTTATTCTCTAGATCAGCATAGAATTGAGACTCCAGCTGCGCTTTTGCATTTTAGAGTATTACAATATCCTAAAACTGTTATAAAGGGAAATTGCCATAACCATCATCATTAGAATTATCCCAATTATTAGGGTTTGGCATTCTTTGTGAGTATTCTTTAAAGTGTTAAATCCATTTGATTGTGAATCTTTTTGCACCACTTACATCCATGTTATACTTTGGTCTATCACCCTTCTTAATCTTTTCATATTAATTTTATTTTGCCCCTTCTGATTAGGGTAATTGATCAGGAAAAGCTACCACTTTGTTGAGCCTCTTCGATATAATTAGAAACTAGGAGTAGTTTTTCTTGAAGTAGATTGATTTTATTTAACAAAATTTCTCTTGATGTTAAATCAAGCTTTATTTAGGACAAGGGCTGAGACTTCCTATGACTGCAAACTCCCATAATTAATTACTTTTGTTCATGATCAGATAGAGCATTTTCGGTTAAATGGATAATTACTCTCAAAATAGAGGTAAATTTGATTCAAGTTCTTATAATTTCGTCATCCTTAGTCTTTCAACATACCAATTTATCAATGTTAGAGGACTTTGAGATGTAACATGTAGAGAGCCTAATTTGTTATCATGGTTGTGCTCTTTTGGGTATCTATAATTAATTGAGGTGGAACTACGTTTCAAAGATGTGACTTTCGAGGTTGATGTTAATTTTCTCATTGACATAGGACTTGCCTAACCAATTTAATCGAATGGATCAGAGATACACAACATGACCACTTACAGTTTAGAGGTACTAGGAAAACATGAAAATAAGACATTTTTCAGTTTTGGCTTTGGCTTTACATGTCTAAGACATTGAAGAAATTGAAGAAATTGTTTGGAGGGAAATTCAATTCTAGGAGAATAAACAAAAAAAGAAAAGATATTTAATTTAATTAATTATAGTAATCATATCCCACAATCTCCAATTGTACGTTTAATTTGATTCATTGATTACTCAAATATGATTCAAAGTAGTCCTGCTGAATTATTTTGAATCAAATGAGGAGTTGAGGGATTTGAATGAGAGTCGAGAGATTAAATTGAAATATTAAGTAGTTTTAGTCTAATACTGCTCTCCATAAATAGTTCAGGGACCATTAATCAAAATTAAATACACCAATGGCAAATCATTTTGGTCCAAGCCAAGTATATCGTGGATCTTATGGTTAAACTATAAGCTGTTCAAGTTCGATAGGAGCTCGAGTTGGGTTTTCACGTATATGTCATGATTGATTTTCTTACAATTTTTCATGAACGAGTTTGGTTTGGCTTTGCTTGCTTTTATTAATCAGACGGGTGATTATAGGAGTTAATAAATAAGCTAATAAACAAACAACTATGAAAACAATTCTGATGTGATTGCAATATTAATAAGTATTGTTATAGACTCAAATAAGCAAGCAATTCAATAAATTTGATATTAATATGTAATCATTTGATAATACTTGAACAAAATAAAACTAAGATTGGAAATTACCGAGGATTGAAAAGGATAGCAACATCTATATAATAAAATTAAAAAGAACATATAACAGCTGCGACCTGTAATGAGCCAGTGATGTGTTGGAAAATATGCATGAAGTGGCTAAGATAATCAATTGACTGCAGGCAAGATGAGAAGGAGACACGCTCTCCTCCGATTCTCTTGCAGGCATTATGCGATTCTTATATATGCATGTTAGAGAAGATGATTTGAGCACTATGACGGATGCCGAATTTAGTTTGGAGACTAAGCAGAATACGTCACATCATCCCTTCGCTCAGTATTGTGGCTCGGTATTGTTCGGTACCGCGGCTTGGTACCGCTGATGTGGCTGCATCTGATTCGCCTCCGAACGTAGAGCTGTGTCCGGCCTCTGAACAAAATAATTTCTCCTATGATGGAGTGGTTAGTGATTCTTATGTATGTTGATTGGTTCATTTATAACCCTAAATTTTTGTATGATACTAGAATTCTTGAATGTCCTATGAAATTGAAGAAAATCCTTTATTGTTTTAAAATGTCGCATAAAACCAGCAGCTTAATTTTTATTCCTTTTATTCAAGTAAAATAAAACATGTTGCCGCAGGTGTTGAATTATGTTGCCAAAATGCTTGATGTCTCCAAAGAACGATTAGCAGAAGCAAGTTATCAAAATGCCATTCACTTGTTCTCTTACCCTGGTTCCAAACTCCATGCAGAAATTTGAAGCCCTTTATTCAAAAGAATTGGTCTTTACTTACCTGTTAGTGCCTCTGTAACACTAGTTGTTAGCATATGTAATGAGATGTATGTAATCTTGCTTTGCTTTCGTGAAGAGTACACATTCTAATCAAGGATTCAGATTCTATTTGATGCTAGTTACATTGGCGCTATTAATTTTATTCATCTCAAATTCACTCTATTCAAAATATTTGTTATATATGTCAACATATTGTGTATATATTTTAATAATCTGATGCAGTTCATCATGATATGTGACTGAGAGTTTTAGCTATCAATCAAGAGGTTTTGAATTTGAATCTTATAGTATCTATATAAGTTTGCTTTATATATATATATATATATATATATATATATATATATATATATATATATTATATATATATATATATATATATATATATATATATATAGATATATATATATATAAATAAAGGAAATTTACATACATACCAATATACCACTATATTTCTATTCTTTTACATATCTAAAACCTCAAATATTAATATTACTTTTATGCCACCGAAAACCCATACTTTACATAACTTCTACTACTATGTTTAGGTCGGATCTCAAGGAGTTTTTCTCCCATCTTGTTTGGCGCGAATCTAAGATGAAATTAGGGCGCAAGGGGTCGGGGATTTAGAGATTGTGAGAGGGGAGGAAGGTGAGTTTTGTAGCGTGCTATCATTTTAGTTCCACATGATATGACAGATTTCGCTGAAACTTGAAGTCCAAGGTACTGAATGATGCGCTTAGACTTAGCTTTGCTTACTTGTTTGTTTCCCTGCTTTCGGGTATATAAATGTAGCATAAATACCACTATACTTATGTTAATTTATGCTACATCTATGCTATACAAATATATAAATGTAGCATAAAGTTTGCTCCGATGACCAGTTTGCATAAATGTATACCAGTCATGATTACATAACCAATTTGCTCGGAGAAAAAACTATATATATTAACAGAAGTCTTCGCAGAAAATAAATTCCCCTTACCTGCTGCCCCGGCCAGAGTTTGCGAGCATAACCAGAAATGCAAGCAGCGAGCAGAGGTATTCCCGATCGGCTGTATTCGTGAGCATAGGAATTCACGAGCAACTGAATTCGCAAGCAGAGGTCGGCTCAAGTTTACTCGGTGTGCGGGAAGATATATGTCGTTAGGTCCGATCTAACAGAGTGATATAAGTGATGTAAAGTATGAATTTTTGGTAGTATAAGAGTAATATTAATATTTAAAATGTTAGATATGTAAAAGGATATAAATATGATGGTATGCATGTAAATTTCCAAAAAAAAAAAAAAACTATCACATGTTATGTGATTATGAATTCTTTAGGCTTTTCTTTCGTTGTCCAAATTACTTCTTTTTCAGTACAATAAAGTTTTTTTTTTGGGACATTTAGGCCATTTAAGGCAAACTCACACACGCAACGCATACACATGGACTCGAACCTTGGACCTCTTAGTTGGAAGCCTAAGCTCTCAACCAATAGGCCAAGAGGAGTTGTGTTCAGTACAATAAAGTGTTCTCACTTTAGAACAAAAATATTAGTGAAATTCGCCTAAAAAATGCAACACATTTAAAGAACTTGAGAAAAATAAGAAAATGCCAATGATTTATAATATGAATATTCAAACATTATAAAGTATACATTCTTTAAAAAAAAAGCTAAAATTAATTTTAATTTTTTTTCTTGCAGATTTGTGATATTTTTTTTATTAGAAAATAGTAGAAATTTAAATCAAAATTTGATGTTTGATCCAACGCAATGGAAAAGGAAAAGGAAGATTTCAGAAGTGTAAAAGCTTTTTGAAAAAGAATTTTTTTTTTGCAAAAGTCAAAATCGCCGTTGCCGGGGATCGAACCCGGGTCACCCGCGTGACAGGCGGGAATACTCACCACTATACTACAACGACTTCTTATTAATTTGCTAAATGTTGTAGTATAAAAATAAAAAACGTATAGAAATACACCACAAACACCTGCACCACGTATTCCACATGAATCATCCAGCCGAGCACGGAAGTCGAACCCAACACTCCTATCAGAAGATCTGACGGCCACGATCAATGAAATCAATTTACCCTTATGTTAGTCCGCGGGATAATCGAACACGAACCTTCTAAATTCTGAGAAAATAATCAAATTAATTCATAAAAAGAAAAGGAGAAAACACTCCTTCCATTTCCTCCGGCGAGAGGTTGGGCGAAAATTTTCCTCGAGTTTCGATCACAGCCTCATCAAACAAAATGACCGGCTTCAGCGGGGACGAAACCGCTCCCTTCTTCGGTTTCCTCGGCGCCGCCGCCGCCCTCGTCTTCTCTTGTAAACCTAATAATCTCATTCTTCATACTCCCAAACTTTCTGTAGATTTGTATCTTTGACCGATCTTTCTCTCTGTGGCATTTTTCAGGCATGGGAGCTGCTTACGGAACGGCAAAGAGTGGTGTAGGCGTGGCGTCGATGGGCGTTATGAGACCGGAGCTCGTAATGAAGTCAATCGTGCCGGTGGTTATGGCTGGAGTGCTAGGTATATATGGCCTTATTATTGCTGTTATTATCAGCACGGGAATAAACCCTAAAGCGAAGTCGTACTACCTCTTTGATGGCTATGCGCATCTGTCGTCTGGTTTGGCATGTGGCCTCGCTGGTCTTTCCGCTGGCATGGCCATCGGGATCGTGGGTGATGCTGGTGTCAGGTAATGCTTTTTTTTCCTCTGATGTGCGTTTTTTGATCTGGGTATGCCAAGTCCGAGTTTTAGATCTGGTGGTTTTATCCGTGATATTATGCTTTTAAATCTGTTAAAATTTAATGCATTGCCGTGCTTTTTTGATCAGGTTGGGTTCTTATTGTATGAAATCATATGCGTCTGCTTTTATCGATGCTGCTTTAAACTAAACTATATGCTTTGAGATTTCACTCGTTGCCGTTATTTTTTTCTTTTTAAATATTAAGTTGGTATCTTCTTGTGTGAAATCATATGTAGTTTTCTTTTTGATCCTGTTTTAAACTTAGTTCTATATGGATTAGTCTGCGAATTTTAACAATGCATAAGGCGACTTCATTATTAAATTATCTATCCATAAACATTGAGTACAAATATAGAGAAATAAATTTATACTGTTATGACCATACTCTTTCAGGATTAGTTTACCATACTCTTTCAGGATTAGTTTTACTCGACTTTTTGTATGGATTGTGACAATTTTACTATTTATTAAGTTTGAGATCTGGAGTATTAGATCTGGATGGTTTATCTTTTGCTTTAATGCTGCTTGGTGTGAATTTTTTTTTTCGTGTTTGATGTCATGATAAATCCTTTGTAAGCATTTAAAGTATTTTTTTAACGTTTCCTAGATTCCATAGCTTTGCATTGTTTTGCTGAAGTTTGGATCATGAGTATGAAATCATATTCCTTTAGGCATTTTCGAATTATAAAAGGAGCATGTTTCATGTTTAAATATGCATAAAGAGCATTACTGAAAAAGAATTTAAAAAGGAGCGAATACGGAGAGCGAAAATCCGGTATCTATAGAAACCGGATTTTTTGCAGGATCTTTCTATAAAATACTTTTATATCATTAAACTATCACTGTGAACAATCTAAGAGGTGGAAAATTATAATTGAGATGAAATGATGCAAAATATTTATTGTGTAATATCACAATCCTGGATTAGGCCTTGATGTAGAACTAATTGTTGTCATTAACTCTTATTATTTCAAGAATAAAAGATTTAAATTGATATAATTTGTCATCTTTAAGCATTATTTGATCCTGAAACGTCAATTGATTGCTTATGATCACCATAAACATGATGTGATAGGTGGAATTTAATGATATCTTAATTTAATTATAATTCATGTTGGTGTCAAAAATTTGTTAAAAAATGTGAGTAATTTGAATCAGTTGGAATAACATATATTTGGATGCCTATATTGTCTATATATGTATAACAATTTAAATTGAACATATATCAAATATTATAAGAAAAAATGGCATTATATTTGATATATAATAGTTATATGTATTTTATATAAAAATGTTTAAATGATATCTAAATTTTTATATTGAATTAAAACTTATAATATTTGATATATATTCAGTTTAAATTATTATACATATATTTTTTCATAATAAATTTGTGGGACGACAAATAGAATCCCAAGAAACCATGTGCAATTTCTTAACATGAGAGTTGTCTCCAAAAAATAGGAATCTAGAACATGCTTTCTTGATAAATTTACACACTGTTTTAGGCAAAATAGAGCCACGGATCCAGTAGCCAATGGTGTTTTGGATAGTGAATTTTAAGTACTGAAGACGCCCTGCTAACGACAACAAGTTAGCTTTCCAACCATTCATTTTATTATTAACACTATCCATAAGGGGAAGGAAGTCTTCAATTTTAAGGTTGTAGAAAGACAACGGAATGCCAAGATAGGTGATCTTGGTAGTAATGTTGTGTATAGAAAGGATCTGGCAAACTTCTTGTTGATTCCTAAAGTGCTTAGGAAACATGATGGCACTTTTATCAAAGTTAATACATAAACCCGTGGTGTTTCCAAAATCCAGTAAAATGTTGGCAAGCTTATGGCAGTTCTCAATAGTGGCCTCTCCAAATACTAAAACATCATCCGCATATAAAAGATGTGTAAGCTTGAAATTATCCACAGAGATGCCTTTAAAGTCTCTTCCCACTAGAAGATTCGAGAATGCATCCATAACTAGACAGAAAAGGTAGGGACTAAGTGGACAGCCTTGTCTCAACCCAGCAGAGGAGTTGGATAAATTGTTTTTAAAATAAATATGCAGAGCAAATGCACAACAGCCAAAGCTCTTCGTTGGAATGATACTTATACTAATCTTTGCAGAAGCATTGGCGCTCTATGGATTGATCGTTGGCATAATTCTGTCATCGAGGGCTGGCCAATCCAGAGCTGATTAACCTCTGTCATATTTGCTTAATTAGATTTATTTTTCTGCTTTCATAGAATAATAAGATTTCTTTTTTGCTGATTGCGTGCTAATATCATGGAAGGGAGTATTAGAGGATGTAGCCATCGATATTTAATTTAGATGTGTTAAAAATTAAAATAAAGATAAATCTATGTTATTAATAGAGAGTTTAGGTTTAAAAATATATATTATATTTGTGCAATAATTTTTGGGGCGAGTATGTAAATGTAAGTTTTATTGAAATTTCATTTAATTTATTTTGGCCTTCAATAATGCAGAGAACACATACATTATGTGCAGACAAAGTAGTTACTATTTTTTGAAATATTTTTTTAGTTTAAGAAATTTTTATACTAAAAATTTATTCTTAAAAAAATAATAAAAAATTTACCCCAGTTGAAGTTGGTAATAATTTATAAAACATGATCAAAATAATGTGAATAATACATTAATATTTATTTGAATAAGGAGGTCGTACATAAATCGGAAAGTTCAACTATTTTGCGAAAAAAATATTTATTCCATATAATTATTGTTTCACATTGCAACCCATAAAATATAAGATAAAAGTTTTTTACTTTTAATTTACACAAATAGCTTATAATTTGTATTTATGTTGATCGAATTAGTAAGATGTAATTAATATAACTATACAGCTCATTTTGATTTATTTTATTGATTGAAAATTTTTATTATTAATCAAGAGATTTTGAATTTAAATTATATATATATATATATACAACTTACAAGATACTATTTCATATAGCAATTTAAAATTAAATTCATAATAAATGTATTCTAAGTGACATTTTATACATCATATAAAGTACAATATGAAATAAATCAATGTATCATACCACACTATATAGAGTATAGACTAAATCTCTTCAAAGGTGGTAATTATGAATAGGAAGTGGAAATCATATGGTTGTTTAGGGGGTATCAAAGCTCTCTGAAAGCAGAACAGAGAAGCAAAATAAATGTTTTTCCTCAACATAGTGTGAACATGTTTATACATAGGCAGCCTCAACCAGAGGGCAAATTATTGCATCCGATCACCTGACAGAACAGATCTCTCTCTGTCTACAGTAAAAGCGCAGGTACTGTAACAGCTGCTACAGTACATGCGCTTTACTGCAGACAGAGAGAGATCCGAACGGATCTCTCTATCAGGTGATCGGATGCAATAATTTGCCCAACCAGAGATGTCCTCTTTTTTATTCGAACCCTACCTTCACAGCTTATACTGAGCAAGTCTATAAGAGTAATACAATAACAACAACATCAAACTTTTATCCCACTATATAAGTTCATCAAAATGAATCTTTGTTCTCAAATATATTCTATTAAGAGTCATATTCTCATTTAAATCTAATAAAAAAATATCATCTCTAATATTTTTCAACAAGTCTATTTTTACCTTTCTTAACATATGTCAAATCTAATATATATACTCTCCTAACTGGGTCAACAAAAAAACTGACATCTTATGTAACCAAACCATCTATAAAATGATTCTCTCCAATCTTATGTCGCTAAAGCTACTCCAATATTTTCACGTATATACTTGTTTTGAATCCACTACATCCACCTGACCATCATTCAGCCGATGTCTATTAGAGTAATAAAAAATTAAAAAAAATGCTCACTTCACTAAAAGACACAAAGGTTAAAACCTTTCCATTGAAATCTAGAAAAAAAAACCTTCAACAATTCATCAGGAGTATGAACAGACTCATCTTTGGATTATATATATATAAGCACATAAAATATTATAATTTATGAGAAAATGAACCAAATAATCCAATGCTGTCAATTAAAATCTAATCTTCTGATAAATCATAACACACCAAAGATTTTGCACAATAAATCATCTCAGTATGAAAGAGTACCATAATATGATGACGGTTGAACTTTAAAAAATTCTCTATAAACCCTATAAAAGATCCTAAACCTACCCCGTAAAAGATCCGATTTGCCAAGCATTAAATAATAGAAGACAAGCTTTTGAAATTTCTAACGGCACTTTTGTAAAAAAATCTAAGATCTTATGATATTATGGATAAAAAAATTTCCAGAAATGCCGTTCTAACATCCAGAAATCAGTTCTACCAGCACACTAGTGTTTTACTGCTTAAAGCCACATATAATCACTCATAAATTGAAGTTTAAACTCACCATATCTGGATTTGTCTGATTGCCAACTTTGAAACAATGCCCGCTGGCTCACAGTCCTCAGAGAAACTTATGATAAATCTTCAAAACCTGTAAAAAGAAGGCAAAGAAAGCTAAGGACTGCTTTGCTCAATCGATGTCAAACGTCTTAAACAAGCGATAAGCCTTATAACCTCTGCATTTTGGTGAATGAAGAAGAATTATCAAAATTTTAAGATTATAATGAAAAAAATAATAATAGCAGACTTCCCTAGATGCAACAGGTTGCCACAGAAATCTGCTACAGTATTCCCAGAAATGCCAAGTGGTGAAGCCGCCAAAAATAATGGAAAAGTATAGCACATGCTACACAAATGAACATTTAGGCTTCGTTTGAGCGACTTTTTTATTGCTTCTTAAAACGGCTTTCTAGTATTAAAATTTTAGTTTTTATATTAAAAAGTCGCTTTAAGAAGCAGTAAGAAAGCCGTCCCAAACAAAGCCTTAATAAAAAAGAACTAAACATTAATGAAGATTAAGGTTTTGTTTGGGACGGCTTTCTTACTGCTTCTTAAAGCAGCTTTTTAGCATAAAAATTTTAATTTTTTACTAAAAATTGCTTTAAGAAGCAATAACAAAGTCGTCCCAAACAAAACCTTACTCAGAATGTCATTGAACGGTACCGCGGTTGTAACTGCATAACAGTAAAAGATTCTTTAAAAATTCAGAAAAGATCATTTCAATGCCAAAATAAAAGCGTATGTTTAAGTAAAAGAATTCACCTTCTGTACTGCTATCCACACTTATCTACACGGAATTGCACTCTGCCAATAAAAAAAGATATTGAATGTAAACTGTAAAGGAAATAAGTCAGAAGAACAGTGAATCTATTTTCTCGCTGATTCTATGAATTGCCTTGTGCAAGAATTGAGGTAACTGCATATTCCCTCACCTTGCTTCATCTACCAATGATATAAACCATAAAGAAACCGAAATATAGAATGGTAAAAGAGACTCCAAGATATCCGGAAGGCCACTCTCAAGAAATCCGTCATATATCTGCTATAAGACATCTGGACGAGATGAATAAAAGCGTGGAGGGGAAGGATAGAAAATACAAACGAGCAAAACAACACCAAACTCTAGATGCATTTTTCCCCACTTTGTTCTGATTGCAGAAATCAGCAAATCAAGAGGAATTAACTTGTCATGTTAGTTGGCATTTAACACAGAAAAATCTCAAAAAAAAGAAAAACTGTACAGAACCACCCCAAAAAAGAGGAATCTTGTAAACATGTATGAGTCCCTAAGCAAAGAATAGGGTCAAACTAGAACCTAAAAATACATCGGTTCTTGTGTGATGTGGATAATGCCACACAACAAAAACATTCTAATCTGTTTATCTTTGATGGGCGTCCAACATATAGAAAGAATTCCTTGAACTAGGTCTAGCACATAACCAGTCGGCCTTCCACGTGCATGAATTTTGAACTCCTGATCTTCTTTTGCATTGCTTGCAAACCAAAACTGACCTTGTACGTCAAAGAAACCAGAGCACCATCGTCCAGTGAAGAATCCATAATAAACAAGATGGGGAAAACCCACACAACTTGCAACATGGAAACCAGACTGGTATTTTAAAATTAGGCTGATCTCTCAACTATTCGTTTGCCATAATCATGAAATCAAGGTGCACAATCAATGGTGTTCATGCAATTCAGTTTGCAAGAAATACATCCAGTTCTGGAGTTGGTCGATGAGAAACTCCTCACTTGCTTAAGGTTCTTGCAGCAACAAGCTGCAGTGATGAATTATACGCAGAGTATCTGCAGCAAGACAATCATCAAGAGTTTGCCGGGGGTCTCATTGCCATGTGCATTTCAATCAACTTGTCGACAAAAGCTCTAATCTGGAAAATTACAACAGCAAAAATTAAAATACTCAAACTAATGGGGCCAATAAAATGACAACATGGCTCGTTAAAATGAAGCTATGAATAAATTTCAAGTCTCCAAAGTCGCAACATCAAGTAAAAAAAAAAAAAAACTAAATAAAAAAAAATGCTTGAATTGAAAACCATTAACTAAAAGTCACTCCCATTTGGATTCGGTGAGCAAATCAAGAACAATGATGAATAAGAGAAAGTATGAACCTTGTTCTTGCGCCTGAAATCTAGAAACTCATTTGCAGTCATCACTTTCTCTGCCTCTGTGCACTGTTCAACAACCTAAAAGAGACGATAAAAATCCAAGTAAGAAGTCAGTTCACCACAAAAAAAAGGATATGAATCGTGACCAATGAAAAAAAAAAGCAAGTTTGCAATAATAAAAAATGAAAGATGTCAGTTTCCATAAACTGTCGAGAACCCGCCAATAAACTGATATCAACCAAGATATCTTCTCAAGCGGAAAGAGAATACAATGTTCTTAAGCATTTTCTCTAATGATTTATGATTAACAAAATTAATTTGCAGCTGATGTGAATTTTTTTTTTAAATGATGAATTGAATGAAAACAGTGAAGCACAAACTGAATGAAATCTTAAAACAAATACATGTAATAGTTAATAGCAAATCTTCATACATGGTCGTAAAAAGCATAGCCCACCTTTGTTGCAGTTTTCTTCATAATAGACTTGTAACCTTCTTTATCAATCTTCCTCGTTTTATAAAGAGGCATCAGAAGTGATGCAACATAATCCACAACACCTTGCTTAACGTGTTCCACTCCTCTAGGATTACCTTCACATGAAGATTTGTTTTCTGCAACATGTGAAGCATACATTCCATCAGCAGGTTCATGCTGCTTTAAAGCTTGCAGCTTCTGTATTCTATTGGAGTCCTCTTCATCCCTCAAATGAAAACGATTATAAAATTCTGCATCTGCATCCATTGCTTGTCGTTGCCATCTCTCAATGGCTGAAGAATCTTTCACCGCACCATTACTAGCAGAATCAGTATCAACCCATGCCTTTGTCAATCTACTATCAATTGTTCCACTTTCTCCTGAATGCTCCCCAAGATTTAATGGACACTCGATCTCATTTGAAAGACTTTGGTTCATATCATCAGAAAGTTTTGATCTCTCAAGATTTCTGCAGGTAGAAGCAAAATCAAGAGACCAATCTCTAACCCTACAATTTCTTGAGTCAATCTCAGACGTGCAATCTTGCTTCCCAGAAACAGCACCTGACCATCTCTTTCTGAGATCGGAGTCATCCATCTGCACATGTTGATCACGCCTAGCAAATTTATGAAAAGAAGGTATCTTTGGGAGTTCACGAAATGCGCTGATCTCTGCTTCAGAAGATGCAAATGCCTGCAGCAAAAAAAAAATACAAATAATACAATTAAAATTTTCGTTTTTGATCTAACAGAAGCATAAGAAGTCTCCAAGAAAAAGAAAATATACTTAAGTACATATGGTGTTACAACAAACCTTTGCTGCTGCAATAGCAGAAGCATGCGCAGCTTCAGCCGCATCAAGGGCAGAAGCTTCTTCAGATAGGGCGGTGGCACCCTCTATTTTAGAATCCAAATTCTGAATCTTCTTCTGAGAGTCTGCCAAGTTCCTATCTGCTACCGACTCTAATTTTCCTGCCTTTTCAGTTTTCCTAGTTTTTGCTGTGGATGGTGAATGGCTTCCAGCAGATGAAGGAAGCAAAAGAATAGCCTTAATATCCACTGCTTCGCTTCCCTTGCTTAAAGGAGCAATTCCTACTTTTTGATCTTTAGATCTGAACTTTGACTGTTCAGATGCTGCTGTCTGCCTCAGAAGCTTCAATCTACCATTTGCAGCTTTTTCCTTGCGGAAAACTTCTATCCACATACTTACTAGCTGGCTTGCTATGGCACGAATATCTCTACTGGTATGTACACAGACTTTCTCCTTGATTGTCTTACCAATCCCTGCAATAAAAGAAACATTAAAATCAAACGAGTGTATAATAAGGAGAGAAAATCTGGATGAATAGGACACAAGGCATAAAACAATCCCAAAAGGAAGTTACCTACATATATAAAAAAACAATCAAAGCTTCAGAAGAGTGATAACAAAAGCATCCCATTAAAATAAGAGATCCGCATGTTGCTTATTCAAGATGTAAATTGATTTCAAAAAATAGCAGCAAAAACATAAATATATGAGAGATTTCCATTTATACCACAAAATTATTATGTATTTGTATATCAAATATCTAAACTTTTATATTTATTTATATAACACTTAAGTGCTTCAATCACATCAAAACACCATGAAAATATGAATTTCACTTTAGAAAATTTAATATCAGTGGTATTTATGTGATTTAAAGATTTGGGTGTTATATAAATAAATATAGAAAATTAGGTATTAGACCTGCAAACAAATAAAAAATTTGTGGTATGCACATAAATCCTCCTAAATATATTTAACAATTTTGTTGGACATTATTAAAATGAAGAATAGATTAATGACATAATCCTCAACTTCATCATCATCATTAAACATAGCAAAACTATTCAGGTACACTCCCTCTTTGCCATCATCCATGTTAAATGAAGTAAGTTGTGTTAGCCTGCAATTTTACTTCTACAGATGTTACCTTTGCTATGACCCTATTACTTTCACTGTTTCACATAAATTTTATACACGACTTAAGGGTGAATCTTCTACACAATTGTATGTGGCTAAATAATGCGGAGTAGGAATGAAACTGAGTCGGGCTTAGATGAATGTGAGAAAATAAGAATTGCTTCTAATAGATTTTAATATTCAATAGATTGATGTTCTTTTCCCAAGCCTCCTCTATTTAAAGTTTACAATTTGTGAAATCACAGTAGGGAAGTTACCAAGGAAAGCAATCAAAATATGGATCTTTTATTAAAAGTAAGTCTTTTCTGAAAGGATCCTCAAAACAAAGCAATGATTGTATTCTATGAATAATCTTAATGAGATTAATTTAGAAAACATGCTCAGTTTAGCTAAGGCAATGGCATGTCACCAAATTTTCCTATGTCAGCTCCCAGCAGGTGTGAAGAATTCTTTCCTGAAGAGTACTTGATATACCCGTGTTTGGAATGGAGCTAATACTACCTCTAGAGTTTGAACTGCATTCACTCGAACTTGCCATTCAATATAGAAACAAAATGAAAATTTTTGTCTACGGTGTGAAGCCCTGGAAGAAGTGCGACTTTAAGTCCAAAAAAAAAAAAAATGTAAAAGTCACAAAGCCATGATCTTTAGATCCCATGATCGTACGCTCCTCTCTAGAAGATTTAGAGTGAGTGAATTAGTATTCATACATTGAAGACCTATCAATCCCCACACTGCATTGGAGGAAAATTCAAACCAAAAAAATCAAGGCCCTATCCTCATTAGGAAAGCATATGAAGGTGGCTATCGAGTATCGATTAGTCAACATGGAGGGCATAAGGTCCATGGCGCCTATATATGGTCATAATCTCAAAAAGTACCATACATAGTTAGCCAAATCATGATACAAACTCATCAAGTCCACATGCCAAGCTAAGAGGTTGTTTGATTGCAATTATTAGAGGTGGAAGTAAAGAAATATAGAAATTTAAATTTTGTTGTTTTTTATTCAAAAGTAAAATAAATATATAAGAACTACTAGTGCATTTAAAATTCCTCGAAAGACACTTCTTCCCTACAATGAAAACTCGCACACAATGAGTGATTTCTAAAAACTTTGAATCTCTTCCTTTGTCATAATATAATAGTGCATGCTCACTTTCGAACGCTCAAGATCCCCTGTTGTTGCCTTCATCCTCTCTCCTAGTCAGGTACATACAATCAGTATTCCTAATATTTTCTTCTCTACTTATAGCCCATGTTTGTGGCCTCACGGGGTTGATTAACATTAGACGGTCATCACCCTTCTTGATCTTCTCCACTCGATGCCATCACCCATCGTTTGATCTTCTACAAAGTTGACATCTACTATGGAATCCCTTCACCACTCATCTAATCGTGAATTTCCTTTCAACTCAATCTCCTCATCTTATTCAACATCAATATTGACAGTCCCTATCTCCTCATCATAGTCTCATGCTAAATATATTCTTTGTTCAACCGTCCTTGCGCCCCCGCCCCCTCCCCCCCCAATATTGACATAATGATGTTATCTCAAATTTGTGCTTACTTATTTTGCATATAACATTGTTAAAGTTGTATGTTGCTAGATGACTAAGCATTTACAAATATTTAAGAACAACATTTCGAATAAGATGAATATTAGGTGATAGTTCTGAGCAAACATCAAATGCATGAAACTATTCCTACCGTTTCCATTGCTAAGACTTGTGTTTTGTCTCTTATATTAAATGAAGCAAGCAATGAAAGAAGAAAACTAAATCATGACAAAACATGGGCATAGTTCATAGCTTCATAAACTAATCTTATTATAAATTTGATTGTATCGATATGATCAGAATGTAGAGACAATATTTCTTTACATTATGTACATTACATCATTCAAGGTTACTACTTGTGGATACAATCAATCTGTGCATTGAAGATCTAGTTATTATGATCATCGATACCCTTGGTCCTAGTGTGCATAATCAGGTTATAAAATTCAATTTTTAATGATTTAGAGAATTGTTAGTTGATTTTTCAATGATGTTTTATATATCATTGGTGAATCATGCATTAAGTTCATAAAGATTCTAAACACCCATACTCCATAAATCAAACACTTAAACAACAAATTCATGCTAAGTTGATAATTTGTATTTTTTATGCTAACCTATGCTATAAAAATAGGATTGCGTAGGATCAATAAATGGAGCTCAAATCAGAGTTAAGGTTACTAAAGAATAGGTAAAAACATTTTGGGGTTGTTTGGTTGCCTGAAAAGGAATGCAATGTAAAAGGAATACCTTAGAGTTGTTTGGATGATTGCAAAATGAACATGAGAGTACCTTTTTTTTTTGTTTAAAGAAAAATGAATGCAATGTAATGTGAAAAAAGTAGTGGTCGGTGGCTGACATTGCGGCGGTGTGGCTGGCGGCAAGCAACAGGAGATGGTGGCCGCCGGTAGATGGCCGATTGTTGTGGTGGCCGGCAGTGGTGGGTGGTCGGAGGAGGTGGTGGTTGGCGGTGTTGGGTGGCCGGCGGTGGTCTGCAGCTATGGCGTTAGTCGTTGATGGTGGCGGGCGATGGTAGGCGGTCGGCGCATGGCGTCTAACAACAATTGCAATGAATTTTCAATATATTTGGAACTCGCTCTTGGAAGAATTCCAAATACACAAAAAATGAACTAGACAGTGTATTTCAAATGCACTAAAATTTTATACTATATTTGTTTTACTTCAAACTAAACATCAATATTTTCAGAACTCTCTCTTTTGGAATACTTTACACTCCCTTGGCAGACAACAAAACAACCCCATAGAGAAAAACAAAATCCTATCCAACTCAAAACATGCTAGCCGCAATGGACTTCAATTTGGGCTTACATTGTTAGCTGATTTGAAGAGTTCACATATGATACAATTATGTTAAAGAATGCACTGAGATAACTTGATTGCACGTGCAGATGTGCCTCAAGTTATAGAGAGCTTCCTATAGTCTACCTATATATTATTCCCTCAATATGTGCTCATAAAGGTGAGAACTTTAACTTGAGGTTTTCATAAATTTTAGTAGGTTAGCGGGGTCTAGCTCATGATATTATTTGTAAGAGAATGCACAAAAACAACTTGATTGTGTATGCCTTAAGGTATAAAACTTTATATGTTCTACCCTATGATGCACCGACACGGACACGGCAACACGGACACGACACGACACGAACACGGGACACAGCAATTTTTAAAAATATAGGACACAGGTGCGGCGTGGACACGACATAATAATTTTTAAATATAATATATATAAATTAAGGTAACATTATAGTAAAAATGACAAGCAATCAACTGCGACGTAGTAATCTAATGACACATTTTTATTCCATGGCCAAAAATTTTAAGTAGATGTGCCTTCACCCTAGAATAAGATCCTTTGTAGGTGCCACCATAATAATTGCATTTGAATGACACATCCCCTCCTCCTTCAAATGTTTTTCCTAACTTTGTAACATGAATTCATAACGGCTTATCAATTTCTACAGATGGTTTTTTTGAACCTTCACCTAATCCACTCCCGCCAGCAACAGAGCTCATTTTGCTAACAAACCAATCATACATATGAATACATCAAATTAAATTGATATGAAGTGAAATCAAAATATCCCAATAATAAGACAACATGAATACAACAATATACCGGTTTGCCGTGGGTCCAAGGGGACGCAACCCCCTGGCGGGGTTCGACCTGCCCGGTCAGGTCGCGGGGTCAAGGAACAAAATTTTATTGTAAGAGTAATTTTGAAATTTTGCTTGTTTTTAAAGTTTGTTAGTTCTTTGTATGGGAAGATACTGAGTGGTACCGAGCATGTACCTAGCAGTACCGAGCATATACATAGCGGTATCGAGCATATATTGAGCAGCACAGAGCATATACTGAGCGGTGCCGAGCATATACTGAGCGGTGCCGAGCATGTACTGAGCGGTACCGAGCATGTACCTAGTGGTACCGAGCATGTAATAATCGGACACGCGTGTCGGACACACGTGTCCGATTTTAATTTTTTAAATTGTGACACTCCAATGCCGTGTCGGAAACCTGTTCATGCCGTGTCTGACGGTAAAGAGTGTAAGACAAGTAAAGACTGGTTGATCTATTGGTTGGAGACTGATTGACTTGTATAGGATGGTGGGCCGACGGGCTTTCCTTTAAATATTGTGATTTGGTGTTATCCTCTACTGATTCACGTGATACTAATGGGGAGTTATAAGGAGATGATTATTGTGCTGACGGTAAAGAGTGACGACTCTGTTTACTGAGCCAACTGTTTACTGATACT